CCGCATTTCTTCGTCGGCGCATTTCTTCGTCAAGCATTTTTTCGTCCACGCATTTCTTCGTCTACGCAAATCTTCGTCCGCATTTCTTCGTCCACGCAAATCTTCGTCTGCGCATATCTTCGTCCGCAAATCTTCGTCCCCGCAAATCTTCGTCCGCAAATCTTCGTCCGCATTTTTTCGTCCACGCATTTCTTCGTCTACGCAAATCTTCGTCCGCATTTCTTCGTCCACGCAAATCTTCGTCCCGGCAAATCTTCGTCCGCAAATCTTCGTCCGCAAATCTTCGTCCGCAAATCTTCGTCCGCAAATCTTCGTCCGCAAATCTTCGTCCGCAAATCTTCGTCCGCAAATCTTCGTCCGCAAATCTTCGTCCGCAAATCTTCGTCCGCAAATCTTCGTCCGCATTTTTCGTCCACACATTTCTTCGTCCACGCAAATCTTCGTCCGCAAATCTTTGTCTGCGCATATTTTCGTCCGCAAACCTTTGTCTGCGCTATCTTCGTCTCCGCAAACATTCGTCCACAAATGTGGTTCAATAAAACCATGAAGAAATATCAGACCATTGCAAGTGAATGACGAATTTAATGCATGGAATGGATGATCGAAACTTTTGAAGTCAGGTAGATGAGGTCAGTCAGGTGAAGCTATTGCTGGGAGCCGACAATTGTAACATATCCATATCATTTGTGTCCCGGACATTCTTTTTTTCGCGGTCGATGAATGACAATATAATCTCTTGTACCCTCGCCGGCATAGGCGGCGGAACGGGGAGGGCACCGGGGCACCGTTCCCCTCTTTAATTTTGGCCTTTTAACAGTAGCCCTATGGTCGTTGCATGGAAAGAATGGGACTAAAAGTCGGCAGTGCCGTGCCCCCCCCCCCCCCAATTGAAAGTGTTCCGCCGCTACTGCTCGCCGGACCTATTTGTTTTCTACATACACGCCGGCCGAGGGGGGGTGGGTACGACCCCCCCCCCCATCGCCGTTTCGCCACTGGTGGAGCTAGCGCGTCGCGGAAAAAAACGAGCGTGTGCGCCGTTACGAGACGCAGAGATTAATACCCGATTTTAAGGCCTTCTAGGTCAGGGGTCGGCTTACGGCCCGCGGGCCGGATCCGGCCAGGTAGGTGACGGTTGGATCCGGCCCGCGACCATCTGACGTCCGGCCCGCGGCTGGTATCAGCGACTTACATCGTGTTCCGGCCCGCGGTTCTTTCAGAAATCGATTCCGATATAAAAGTGACTTAAATGTGCTTTGGCACAATAGTTCTTCCTTCGCACACTTCATGAGTTTATAAACACCATTTGCGGGTTGGGTTCATGTGGTGACCCTTGGTGACCTGACCTGCGACCTGACCTGGTATGACCAGTGACCTCTACTAGCAACATACCTATGTACTAGATAACTGACGCCCTATCGCTGATTTTCGACAAAATGCGCTTTACTCGGTGTTATACCGCTTTCCCTAGAAGACCCGTGAACGGTGAAACATGTTATCTTTGACCTGACCTGTGACGTCATCGGTGACCCCGAGGTCAATGAAATTTAGCTTCCTTCCACAAATTTGACAGGGCTATCGAACGCCGTTTGAATTTTCCGGATCCGTCCAGTAGTTTCGGAGATACGGGGGGGGGGCAAAAAAATCCCCCCCCCCACCGCCTGGAAGGTTAAACGAGTAGACCACGTGAAGCCGCCAAGTGCACGCAGCCAGCAGTCGTTGAAGCTGCGCGCAAAAGCTGCTGACCAAATCTTACCGTTGCAACTTTTGTCTTTAAGTAGAATTAGACAAAAACACCCGCAAATGGTGTTTATAAACTCATGAAGTGTGCGAAGGAAGAACTAGGTATTGTGTCAAAGGTCATTTCAGTCACTTTTATATCGGAGTCGATTTCTGAAAGAACCGCGGGCTGGAACACGATGTAAGTCGCTGATACCAGCCGCGGGCCGGACGTCAGATGGTCGCGGGCCGAATCCAACCGTCACCCACCTGGCCGGATCCGGCCCGCGGGCGGTATGTCGACCCCTGACCTAGAAGGCCTTAAAATCGGGTATTAATCTCTGCTTCTCGTAACGGCGCACACGCTCGTTTTTTCCGCGACGCGCTAGCTCCACCAGTGGCGAAACGGCGATGGGGGGGGGGGGTCGTACCCGCCCCCCTCGGCCGGCGTGTATGTAGAAAACAAATAGGTCCGGCGAGCAGTAGCGGCGGAACACCTTCAATTAAGGGGGGGGGGGGCACGGCACTGCCGACTTTTGGTCCCATTCTTTCCATGCAACGCCCATTGGGCTACTGTTAAAAGGCCAAAATTAAAGAGGGGAACGGTGCCCCGGTGCCCTCCCCGTTCCGCCGCCTATGCCGGCGAGGGCACAAGAGATTATATTGTCATTCAACGACCGCGAAAAAAAGAATGTCCGGGACACAAATGATATGGATATGTTACAATTGTCGGCTCCCAAATACAATAGCTTCACCTGACTGAGTGATCTCATCTGCCATGACTTCAAAAGTTTCGATCATCCATTCCATGCATTAAATTCGTCATTCACTTAAGATGGTCTGATATTTCTTCATGGTTTTATTCAACCACATTTGTGGACGAATGTTTGCGGAGACGAAGATAGCGCAGACAAAGATTTGCGGACGAAGATTTGCGGACGAAGATTTGCGTGGACGAAGAAATGCGTGGACGAGAAATGCGGACGAAGATTTGCGGACGAAGATTTGCGGACGAAGATTTGCGGACGAAGATTTGCGGACGAAGATTTGCGGACGAAGATTTGCGGACGAAGATTTGCCGGGACGAAGATTTGCGTGGACGAAGAAATGCGGACGAAGATTTGCGTAGACGAGGAAATGCGTTGACGAAAAAATGCGGACGAAGATTTGCGGACGAAGATTTGCGGGGACGAAGATTTGCGGACGAAGATATGCGCAGACGAAGATTTGCGTGGACGAAGAAATGCGGACGAAGATTTGCGTAGACGAAGAAATGCGTGGACGAAAAAATGCTTGACGAAGAAATGCGCGTACGAAGAAATGCGGATACGAAAAAATGCGCTACGAATATTTGCGCTTACGAAGAAATGCGAGACGAAGTTATGCGACACGAATAAATGCGCCGACGAAGATTTGCGGACGAAGAAATGCGGACGAGGAATTGCGCGACGAAGAATTGCCATACGAAGATTTGTCCGGTTACGGCACCTTTACCGGGGTTACATGAGCGATCCGTTCCAAATACGCACTACGCTAATGCGCATCAGCTCCCCACAAACGGATCTACGGCACCGGTTACATGAGACTAATTCGTTTTATCTACGTCAAACGGATCTTGTTTGGCTCACCCGGGCTGACTCCTCGACGGCCGGTAATTCGCATCACAAACGGAATAGGATTAGCGTACAGTCATGGCGCAGTTGCGGCATTTACCGGGACGACTGAGCTAAATTTTAAATAATTATATCATTTGATAGGCTCAAAAACATTTAAAATTAACATGAAATCAAAAAATGAAAACAAAGTTTTCTTGTTTTAAGTCAATGGGCACTGATTCGCCATGCAGCGACAGCAGGGTGGTCAGAAAAAATTATCTATCAAAATATTTCATTCATTTTATTTCACATGCAAAGACTAAACCAAAATACCAACATTTTTTTTGTTATTTTCTACGAGGCAGCCAATAAAAAAAAATGCTTAGTATTTTGCATTTTGACGCTTCCAGTCAGCAAAGAATAGTTCTTGTGAAATACGGCCCGAATCGTGTGCCTCGGACGTTTCGGTTACATGAGCGATCCGTTCCAAATACGCACTATCGCTAATTCGCATCAGCTCCCCAAGAACGCATTCAGTGCACCGACTACAAGAGCAAATTCGTATCAGTGACGTCAAACGGGTCTAGTTTGGCTCTCGGCCCGATGCGCATTACAAACGGAATAGCATACAAATGTGGCGCACTTCCGTAGCAAAAGAGGTGACTGAATTAAAAATTTAATATCTCATGTCTTTTTTGCATTTAATCTGCTCAGAACATCCTCAATTAACTTAACAAAAAAAGTTGAACATAAAGTTGTCTTGCTTTGACTCATTGGGCACTTGCCTCTCTTGATTCGTCTGTAGTGCTGTCAGAAAAATGTTTCAACTGAAAGTACTTTGATATTTTCTTTTTGGTTTTCACTATATTTATTGACAAAATACCGATATATTTTTTTAATTATTATTTCAAAAGAAGCAAATGAAAAAAATACCTATTATTTTGCATTTTAATGTTTCTTTTTGGAAAGAAATAGTTCCTGTAATACGTATCTTGGTCCTATTCGCTTCTAAGCCTCTTTCTCAGCGGATTTTGTTTGGACCGCCGATTCGTATTAGCAGGTGGATACATGAGTCGGTAGTACGCTCCTGATTCGCATTAGCGGTGAATCCGATCGTGATACGTATTTGCTTTGCTCATGTAACCGCGGATCGGATCGCCGATTCGTACTAGCAGGTGGCTACATGAGTCGGTAATGCGTTCCTAATTCGAATTAGCGGCTAAATACGTATTTACTGTGCTCATGTAACCCCGATACTTGTGTTCATTCAATTCCCTCCTTTGTTGAAACCTTACAGCTGTCTTTTGTTTTGCAAGCCGATAAATGATAAATACATGCTTCTGTATTTGCCTTGCTTTTAAATTAAAATAAGATATTTCATTTATTCTTTGTAATATGCTTCAATTATCAGTTTGATTTTCATAATCATTATAAAAAATGTTCATTTTGAGAATGCTCATGAACATGAAAATTAAAATTGACGGTTTTCAGCATTTTACTGAAGTTTTACACTATTTTTTATTTTTAGAAGAGTTCGTTACATATATTTTTTCATAAGAAATAACGAATATAAGCTCTTTTCTTGATGAATTTTTAATTCCCCCAAAATAGGCAAAACTCATCAGCTGAGCACGTTTTGAACGTATTTCTGGAGGAAGTGCATGAAGTAATGCTTTTCGACAACTGTGGCGCGTCAAAAATAGCAAGCTCCCAAGCCTTGCCCCCAAGCCCCTTCCAAGAGGTCAAGAGGTATAAGGTTAATTTTTTAGCATGAGTGTGGGTTGTGATAGTTGTTATCAATATGGATAAAATATACAAAAATGTTAAGCAATTTTCCCCTACCAGCTACTCATGTCAGCTATAAGGTCACTCGTATAGGTCTGTTCGTGCTGGCTGGAATCATAGAGATCTTATGACATGCACTTAAAATCGTGGCGATTCAGTGGGTCTTTTTAAGACCCCGTTTTTGAGATATTCGCGAAAAACCACAAGGGGGGGTGTTCAAACACCCCCCCCAGCAGGGCGCGGGTTAAGCAACTTATTTTCAGCCAGTAGCGTGCCAATATGGCTGAGGCATTGTCAGCCTGAAGAAATCATCAAAAATATTGCTGTTCTTTCCTTACTGATTTCATTGCTGAGGTAAGCAATGAAATTTGTAGCATGATTTCATTTTCAGTGTTTTTATTGGATTCCAAGCTTGCCTAAAAAGATTCCCTCATTCAGGTTCTCATTAATCAAGGTCATAATTTGACCGGACAGGGTCACCGGTCATGCTGTATGTTAGTCGATCCGTATCGTCGAGCTGAACACATTTGACGTGTTTTCACCACTCTAGCACATCTCTATCTCTATCGTTTGCAAACGGCCTGGGCGGCCCAGTCAGTTTGCAAACGGACTGAAAAGTCAGGCCGTTTGAAAACGGTTTGAAGTTCCAGGCCGTTTGCAAACTGCATGAAATTTCAGGCCGTTTGGAAATCGCCTATATAGGCCATATGGCAGCTATTAGGCATCAGGCCGTTTGCAAACGGCCTAGCTAGGCAGTTTGAGAACTGTCTGGTCAGTGTGAAGACAGCTGGACAATGTTGAGAGCAATAGTTTGTTGAAACACGACTGTTAGCAATCTGTCGCCCCATGGACTGCCTGTGGCATGATTTCACCAGGTTCCATAAGCTGGATGAATCTTAACCCTTGCCCGTATAGGGGGGGGGGGGGGTCGAACGGACCCCTCCCCTTCGGTTTTTCGCGAATAGCTCGCGTAAAAAGCGGCCGATCGCGACGAAGCTTTCAGAACCCTCACGTTTATCATTTTACACCTACCCTGAAATTTTCATGACCCTGACCTTAATGACCTTTGACCTGTGACCTACTTTTCGAGACCATGTTTGGCTGGAATCGCGATTTGGCGTATGTCGGCTCGCATTGCCGCGTGTTTGCCGTCTTTTCGTGGTTTTAAGCGTTCAAACATCGGATATGATGTTGCTCCCATGCATTAGGGTGGGTATCAAGGTTACCGGAAGGTCAGGTCAGGTCATTGACCTTTGATGACCTCGGCTCACTTTTTCGAGTTTTACATTTTTCTAGGCCACTTTTTGGAGCTGAATTCGAATTTAGCAACCATATGAACATTTACGAAGTAGTTTTGGTGCCTTCGTAACATGTTACGAAGCTGTCAGAGGCGATTGCCACCTACTACGAATACCCTTACTGGTTGACCTGACCCATGACCTGACCCGACCTGGCCTAAATGCATGAAGACATCATCTGTGATCAAAACTAACATGTTATTCGTGATCAGCACCCCGAAAAACCCCATAGCAGCGACGCTTTACGACTTTCTAACAGGTCCCGATTTTCCCGACTTTTGGGTCATTGACCTGACCTGGAAGGTCAACCGATGACCTAGGACCTTACAATTGGGTCTTATCGGCTTCCTCTCGTGACGGGCAACACGCTCGTTTTTTTCCGCGAAGCTCTAGCTCGATCAGGGGCGAAACGGCAAGGGGGGGGGGGTCCAACGGACCCCCTCCCCCCTTATACATTCGCGGCTGGAAAAAAAACACCAATACGGGCGAGGGTTAAAACCTTTTAGTTATTGTCGGGAACAGGGCCGAGACGAGCACATGGACGACTAGAAAATGTTCGACGTAGACTAGTCCTTCCGCAGACCCGAGCATCTACCAATCTGGATCAATCAAGTTACCTTCAAAGGTTGTTGTACTTCGCCAGGCCGTTTGAAAACTGACTAAGCCGTTTTCAAATTGCCTATAGGCCGTTTCCAAACGGCCGGTGTTTTCAGGTCGTTTTCAAACGGCGTGACTCGGCCAGACCGTTTGCAAACGGACGGAGGTTTCATACGGCCTGTAACATATATGTACATATGTTGTATGCTCCCATTCAATGATACATTAACCCTCGCCGGACCTATTGGTTTTCTACGTACGCGCCGGCCGAGGGGGGGGGGGGTTGGTAAGTACGACCCCCTCGCCGTTTCGCCCCTGATGGAGCTAGAGCGTCGTGGAAAAAACGATTAAGGTCTCAGGTCAACTGGTGACCTCTGAGGTTAGGTCAAGTAACCAAGGGCACAGGTTCAGTTTTCATAAATAGCTTGGCAAAAAAAAAACGGTGGCAGAGCCGCGATTTTGGCATCATCGTGTTCGCCTCGCTCAGGCGCGTCGAATGGCATTTTTTTTTTTTTTTTTTGTTCGGGTGAGGTCAACTTGAAGTGTTCACCTCGGGTCAAGGTCAGGTCAGCGCCCCCCAGGTCACGAAGTTGGTCGGAGGAGGTCATGTTGCACATCAGTCGATTCGGCAGGTCTTCCCGAGTCCATTGGTGGCTTTCCCGGCTCGCTACATAGCTCAATTTGATCAGGAGTTATTGACGAAAAACTCCAAGTTATGACCCTAGTGACGTCATAAATGACGTCACGCAAGGTCAGCAATACAAAAGTGAAGAATTGAATATTGCAAGGAGTGCATGAAATCACGATTCCGTGTGGTTGATATAGTGTGAGATCGTTCCCGGCGCCAAAATAGCAGTTTTCATTTTTTCCCCCATTTACCTATAATGGTGAGGTCACGTGACCGAACTGATCTCATGTGATCTTTAGAAGAAAAAAAATCCGAGATATAAAAGTTGTGAGACCTCTGGAGGATACTACGTCCTGTAAGTTTCATCTCCCTGTTAAAGCTCCTTTGGCACTGAGAGCGTTGTGAAGTTGCGACATCTGAAGACCGTGCAGAGGTTCACGTATGACGTCATAGGTCAGTGACCTGACCTGACGCGAAAATGCGGTTGGTGTCAAAAGATCTGGCTTGAATCAAGGGTCAGGCTTGCGAAGTTTCAGCTCTCTATCGCCAGCGTGTTTGGAGCTATCGCGAAAAAAATCTAGGGGATGGCACCCGCCCTCCCCCCTCGGCCGGCGAGGGTTAATGATACATTTAGTAGGTACCTGTTAGGAGCATAAGGTTAAAACATGCCTAATTTCATTTCATTAATAACGCTCTAAAGCGTCATAGCTATACAAAAAAGAAAAGGTGTACCTACTTAAAGGAAACAGTCCACTTTCCTGAAATCAGTATTTTGCTATTGATTTATGATTTTTTATGCTCAAAATAATCATGAAATAAAATAAAACCTTTTTGTAAAAACAATTATTTTCTTTATTTTAATATAGGGCGAACTATATTCTATGTAAAATAATGTTTGACGCGGAAGCTTATTACGCATTGACCAATCATATTGCGTAGCTCAAACCTACGAATACTGCATTGGCTGTAAGCAGCACGCTGATTGGCTGACGATGACGTGGCTGCATTCCTGTGCAAGGCACGCATTCCTCTACAAGGCACTCTTTTCGGAACGAGAAATGGAATTTCTTCGTCTAGGGTGATCGTTGAGCCGTAAAAGCTCCTGATTTGTGCTAGTCTCAGCTCAAGCTACGAAACTGCTATTCCAGCTCAAAACCCCATGTTAAAAGTGAACTATTTCCTTTAAAGCCGATAGCCCTACGGGGCGCGGGTTAATGAAGACTTTGAAGAGAGTACCTGATTCAGTCAGTTTTAGGTCATGTCATATATCAAGTCATCAGATGTCATGTTAGCTCAAAAATTTCCTTTTTGATGCCCTGAGATTAGAAAAGAAAACATTTCAACAACCTATGTTCTGCATCAATTACAACAAAATTAAGTCTCTGTGCCATTTCTTGCACCACATCTTTCAAATTACACATCTCAAAGCAGGAGTGTTATGCACTGTACACCCTTAGTAGCAGTGACTGCAGAAGTCCTAGAGCTGCCATGAGTAAGCATGCACTGCTGGGGCTGTACCAGTACACGTTTCACACCCTCAGCAAGTCAGCACACTCTGCCACAGGTGTTAAAGTTGAGTTAGAGATGGCATCAATACACCCATCCCATCCCACTGGCACCACCTCGATTTGCAGCAATATGACCACTACATCAATGCTGTATTTACATGGTGGTATGATGATCCTCTTGGGCAGAGGTTGGGCATGCGGCATGCCTCTCATTAACCAGTTGTCAGCTAGCCCACCTGAGAGGGTTAAACAAGGTCAAAATGCTGTTTTTGGTCGTGAACCAGTTGCCTGCAATGGGCAGATATCTTACCCACCAAGCCAGGTGATGCTCCTCGTCCCTGTTGTTTTTGCACCCGCAATGTGATGAGGAATTTGGTCCTGTTGTCCCACTTCCTGCGCAGACCGGGAGTGGCGGTCGACTTAAAATGCGGCAAATGCGTATCCATTGCTGGACAGCTGGTCTCTAACGAGTTTAGCTAATGATTTCCATCATTCTCTGTGTATTCGTGTTGCGAATAAGTCCTCTAGCTCAGTCGTTTAGTCGGTCTTTGTAAACTTACGTGTTGTCGGGGTTTTAGCTGTTCGTGATGAATAAATCGTGTATTCAATGAATATTATATTCATTGTCTTCCGTTCCAAGATTACTCGTGATATACATATTTGGCGGGATTCAAAGCAAATTCCGCGATTCCACTAGATCGTGGAATGACGTGTGTGGATTGCGTGCAGTGCTTGATTCCTCATCCATCCAGCATCTAACCAGGGCCCAATCTTACCAATGCCGTGGATGCAGATGCCGTGGATGCCTACCACGGCGGCTGAGCCACGGCACTCCATTTACCCAATCTCACCAATGCCGTGCCACGGCATTTCTATTCACGGCATTTTGCCCACGGTACAATTCAGCGCCAGCAGAAAACACGCA